CTGCACCCACCGGCCCCTGTGCCGCTTTTTCTCCTTAGTGGCTGCAGCGCAGGTGAAACTGACTCTCTGGAGAGGGACACTAAGGACAACCATATGGATAAGTGGCCCCTGCAAGCTTCTCTGCACAGGCCCCTGCCAAAGTCTAGTACCTACCTGGAGAGCCCCTCCAGGACCATTCAAGTGCATGAGGCCTCTGCAGTTCATGCCTGCCATTTTAGTGCCAAATTTTTGTGGGGTGTGGGGGTGAGAGGGAGAGAGAGAAGGGGGTTAGTTTATTTAGTTTTAGCAGCTATAAAATTAGAATGATGGCATCTTTGATGCCAACCATCCTGTTTCTGGGAATGGTGCCAGATTTGGGCTCATTTCCAAAAAAAGTCTTGGGGGAAACTATTATAGGGTACTCACTGAGATGCACCCTAGAATCTAGATCAGTGGTCACCATCCAGTAGGTTGTGATCTACCAGTAGATTTTGGAGCCTCTGACAGGTTATCTTGACAGGTTTGGCCAGGAAGTTTATCGAGCACTGGCACTTCTACCCCTTCACCCACTGTCATGCTGCTGCTCCTGCTCTCTGGCTTGGAGCGCTGTGCAGGATGTGGGAGGGAGAAGAGCTGGTGTCAGGGTGTCCATCCTCCCCTCCCCCTACTCCTGCACCCTGTCTCTCCACACAGAGAGAAGGGGATGGAGGGACCTTGGCAATGCAAATCTGTCACTCTCTCACACACACACACACACACACACACACTGTCCTTCCCTCTCAGCTCCTGACCATACACGTGGGGTTGTTGGTGCTGGGTTCTTCTTGGTCTTTGACGGGTCTGTGCATTTCATTACTTTCATTTCTCTCGTATGCTCACATTTAATTCTCACATTTAATTCTTTGAGCAGTGAGTTCTAAAATGCCTGACCTGTCATGTCTGCAGTAATTATTCGTGTGGTCATTGTGCTCCTGGAAGGACTGGCATGTCCCTGCAGCCCCTGAGAGAGGCAGAGCAGGGGGTCTCCACATGCTGTCCTTGCCTGAGGACCCCACTCCTACGGCTCCCATTGATCAGTAATGGGGAACTGTGGCCAGCAGAGGCTGTGAGGTTGGTGCCTGTAGATCAGGGGGCCACTGCTGTACATGCCAGCTGCTTTCAGGAGTGGTACAGGGCCAGGGCAGAAGCAAGCCTGCCTTAACCCCACTGCTCCCATTCCTGGGATGGCTGTCTGGCTGCTCCCAGGATGGCTGGTACTTGAACCTCCCATCCCACATCCTGCACAGCGAGCAGTCGGCTCCCCAGGGGCAGCTCCAAGCCAGAGGGCAGGAGCAGCAGGACAGTGGGTGGAGGGGCACCTGAAGTGCCGGCACTTGGTAGATTCCCAGCCAAACCAGTCAGGATCACCCGTGTGAGGTTCCAAGATCTACAGGTAGATCCTGATCTACTAGTTGGTGACCAGTGGCCTAGATTGAATACATAGTGCAGAACTCAAGGTATCTTGCTGGGTTGCCAGGCAGTCTTGAGGTTTTAAATCTGGCTTAAGACACCTTGTCTATTGTTCAGAAGGGGTAACTGATTTGGGGCCTTGGACATGATTTTCTAGGGGTGCTGAGTTGGGGGATCTAAGCAACTCGTCTAAGTCGCTGGACGTCAGGAATTCCAGATGTGTGGTGCACCGCTGTTTAAGACAGGAAGTGGAGAAGACAGTCCCATCCACCAGAAAGGGATTTAAACTGAGATCCCTGAGTTTCCTCTTGGCCCTGGCTACGTAACGGCAGGGCCTCCAGGGGGACACAGCTCTCAGGTTGACTCACATTGCCGCTGTAGATTGTCAGCACAGCCATCATCACCTTGGCGTAATTCATCGACTGCGCCAACTCCTGGGCCAGCCGGCACAGTTTCAGGACCAGGAGGTTAAAGAGCTCAGGGGGCAGCTCCACCTGAAAGAGAGATGTGGCCAGGGAACAAGGTGAAAAAGGAGAAGACAGGGAGCCTTTAATACTGAGGGGCCCAGACGAGCTCGGTTCGGAAAAACCGAACCAAGGAGCAGTCGGCACCACTAACACCGGGGCACCCGAACACCCAGGGAAATTGCCAGGTATCTGAAAGCAGCACGGGAGGAGGAGAGACGCCTGCTGCCCTCATCCATAATATGGAGGTGCTGCCCGCCCATGAAGACTGCTGGTCCCAGCATGCAATGCTCCATCTCTATCAGGGATGGTCTAGACAGTACTGGGTCCTGCCATGAGGGCAGGGGACTGGACTCGATGACCTCACAAGGTCCCTTCCAGTCCTAGTAGTCTATTAAAGTATTCTCACTCAATCCGCACAGCCCAGAGACAGTAGTACGGGGAGTGGATAAAACGGGTGTGGATCAGAATGGGGAGGGGGGAGGACTTTGAACCTCCAAGCTGTCAAGCCAGCACTTTTCACTGCTACTCATTTCACACCCAGCTAATTTCCAAAGGGGCCTTTCAATCCACCCGGAGAGAACGTGTCTGCTCACCTGCTTTCCCAGTAACGTCTGCACAACAGTGAGGAGCTCCCCTGACCAAGGCATCTCCAGGACCTGGCTGGAAAGGGGAATAAAGCCAGGGCCACACTAGAAACACTGGCCAGTGCCGTCACAGTGGCCAAGGGTGCGAACAGCTGGGATGCGGTTGTGCCGGCAAAAGGCGCCAGCACAGAGCGTTTCACCTCATTTTGTTAGAAGACCTGGGATAAGCGAGTCTGACAAGAGAATTCTTTAGCCAGGAGAAGCTGCGTCTGACTGGGTGTGCGTGTGTGGCTGGACTACATCTCCCAGCAAACCCTTTCTAGTGTTGTCTGCGCCTGAGAAAGACACAGCTCGGGGCTAAATGCCCCCCTCTGCCCTCAAAGTTCTTTGGGGTATACAGCCCTCCTGCTGGCCCCCCCTCTCCAGCTGTGCAACAAGGGGGGTGGGCTGTGTGGATCCAGGACTGTGCCTGGCTCTCAGCCGGTCAGGAGGGAGTGCCTGTATGCCCCAGCAGGTGGTATCAATCGCTAGCTATTCCCTGTGAGGGGACACAGTGGGTGGAAAGTCCTCCCCGTCTGTAAGCATTTACCTGAGTAGCAGCCTCACATACTCTGGCTCCAGGCAGTCCTCGATCAGCTCGCACACCAGCTGGGTCCGCGCGGGGCCTGCAGTGATGAGATGGCAGCGCTGGCCGTCCTAGCCAAACCTGGGAGAGGTGCCTGTGGCCCATCTCCGCAAATCAGAGCGACAACATCACCGTGGCACACCGTGCGTGCCCTCACAGCCCTGGCTCCTCGGCCTGCCGCATCTGCCGTGCCGGAGAGTCCGGCTTCCACCACGCCTGTCACTGGGACTCACACCCAAAGAGTCCAGGCTGGAGTGGCCTGGTCTCGCTCCAGACATGCCACTCGGGCCTGGCGTCCTGCTCCTCTTCAGCTGGAGCAGGGCCACTCTACACCAGGGCAGAGCGTGGCCCTTTAGAACGTGGCAGGGGAGCCCTCGCTACAATATCAATCTTAGGCATTTCCTAAGCTGCCAGGTTTCCCCATGATCGTCCCTAACGACCCGGGGCTCCTTCTCCCTCTCAGTCTGGCTCAGGAGTCCTCAGGCATTCGCACGCCCTCAGCCGCTCACAGCCGGGCGGCTTCGTTCACCCCGGAACGCACGGTGCCGGTTGCCAGGGCGATTCACAGATCAGGTACCGCAGCGGCGTTGGCTGCAGCATGGACACCCGGCCTCCGAGGGGCCTTTCTCCCTGTAAGACGGTAGGGCTCCGTGCTCACCTGCTCCCGGGGCCCACAGGGCTGGCACGATCAAGGCAGAGCAGACTGGCCGAGCGTACTTGGAGCAGAATGAGGTCAGCGCAGCCACGAGATGGCGGGAGGCCGGCTGGGTCAGCGCGAGAACCTAGGGCACAGGAGAAGCACACTTAGCATGGAAACGCAAGCGCCTACCCATCCAGCCCAGGCACTCAGAGCAGCCCGGGGGCTGGAGGGGGAATGTTCCTAAGTCTAGCACACACCAGTCAGAAATGGCAGCATCCCTGCTGATGTGGAAGAACCAGCACCTGTTTTGCTCTATTCTCTAAAGCCAGGGGACATCTGAGGTACGGGGGCAGAGACACAGCTAAAGCCAGGCCGAGGCCCCTCTCTGCAGCTTCCCCGCTTCCCTCCTCCAGTATCCTCACTTGCACTGGTGATAGGCAACCCCTAAGCTGAGTGCAAAGAGCTACAGAGGGATCTCACGACACTGGGCAACTGACTGACAAAAGAAATTCAATGCTGATAAGTGCAAAGGAATGCACATTGGAAAACATAATCCCGACTCTGCAGACAAATGATGGGTCTAAATTAGCTGATCCCACTCAGGAAAGAGACCTTGGAGTCACTGTGGATCATCCACTCAATGTGCAGTGGCAGTCGAAAAAGCAAACAGAGTGCTGGGAATCATTAGGAAAGGGATCGCTAATAAGACAGTAAATATCATAATGCCACCGAATTCCCCCATGCAGTGCTGGTCGCCACATGGATAGACCTGGAAAAAGTACAAAAGTGGGCAGCAAAGTGATCAGGGATACAGAACAGCTTCTGTCTGAAGAGAGATTAAAGAGACTAGAACTGTTCAGCTTAGAAAAGAGAAGACTAAAGGGGGATAGGTTAGAGGTCTCCAAAATCAGCAATGGCATGGAGGAAGTGTGGCAGTATTATTTATCCCTTCCCATAATATAAGAACCAGAGGTTACTAAATGAAGTTAACAGGAAGCAAGTTTAAAATAAATACAATGAAGTGTTTGTTCACACAACACACAGCCAACCTGTGGAACTCCCTGCCAGGGGATGTTGTGACAGGCAAAACTATAACAGGGTTCAAAAGAGAGCTACATACATTTATGGATAAATCCTTGAATAGCTATTAGCAGGATAGGCAGCTATGCAGCCCCATGCTCTGGGTGTCCCTAAACCTCTTACTACCAGGAACTGGGACTGTTCTTTCCATTCACTCGGACGTATCTGGCACCAGTCACCGTGGGAAGACAGGACATTGGGCTAGATGGACAAGGGACTGGATCCAGGTGCAGAGTCTCAGGGGCCTTCTGCCAGCTCAGCACCCCCCGTGTGTACCTACCCGCTGGAGGAAGAGCTGCTCCGTCAGCACCGCTGCGTTGGAGTGGCTGAGCTCGGGCGTGAGAGCCAGCAGCCAGGTGCAGAAATGCACAAGGGCGCGTTCCGGGCTCTCCGAGAACTGGAGCAAGGAGCACAGTCCCTCCAGCTGGAAGAGGGGAGAGAGGCCGTGCAAAGCGTCACAGCAGCAGTGAGACATTTCCCAAGCACCGAGAGAAGGATCAGAGGCCGGTTCCCTCGGGATGGTTCGCATACCGGCTGCAAGGAGCGGCCCTCGTGGTGTTGTCACTGCTCACTCACCTGGCCAGGGGTGCATTCGTTCAGGACCTGCAGTTCGGGAGGGGCGGTGCCATCTGTTTGCTACAAAGAAACAGACAATCAAGCAGGCTAGACGAATAGCAGGTTCTATCCTTCTTCCCCTGGCAAATTTCAAAGGAAACTAGGGAGGTCAGCAAGTCGTCCACTAGTCAGCTACTCAATAAGCATCAGCTTATTGCGCAGTCGTGGGTGGGGGGAGGAGGAAGGGGAGGCTGCTGCAAAGCAGCTCCTGTTCACAGCAGCCTGAGCTGCCGCCACGATCCGTGGCTGGTGCCAGAGCAGCCCCTGCCTGCAGACAGCAGCAGTCCCTGTTCACGGCGGACAGAGGACTCAGCACAAGACAGGCTGACCAGTCCCTGCTTGCGCTGGTCGGGACGCTGTGCCCAGCGGCTCTTATTACATTTAAAATGCAGAGCCGCAATGTGGGTGGCTCTTATTGACTAATTGTATAGCTGATACAAATTGTATCAACTACACAATTAGCCAGATAACCACAATTGAACATCCTTAAAGGAAACCCCGCTCTGCTGCCACACACACGTTTGCTGACCAGTCCCTGCTTGCGCTGGTCGGGACGCTGTGCCCAGCGGCTCTTATTACATTTAAAATGCAGAGCCGCAATGTGGGTGGCTCTTATTGACTAATTGTATAGCTGATACAAATTGTATCAACTACACAATTAGCCAGATAACCACAATTGAACATCCTTAAAGGAAACCCCGCTCTGCTGCCACACACACGTTTGGACAGATCCAGATCTGAAGGGCAAGGCAGATGATATTACTGAGAGGCAGTATTGCCTACTGGTTACAACACAGGCTTGACTGCTTCCATTCACAGGTTCTGTTCCCACCTCTGCCCCGACTCACTACATAACCTGGCGCTAAGTGCTCAGTCTTTTTATGCCTCAGTTTCCCCAGCTGTATAGCAGGGATAACACCATGCATTACAGGGACTTAGCACCTTCCTCTGTGCAGCCAGCCCCAGCCACTTTCAGAGAGGGCATCTGCTCTGGTGTATCAGCTGCCTAGTGATATCGAATGGGTACGTCCATTTGGACACAGCTGTTCATGAGTGTGTGAACCTGGAGGCTGTAGCAGCAGGACTGTCCTTTGCTCTCTACAGGTCAACCCCTCCTGAGATCAAACATGGGCCCTTTCTGGGAGCCCTAGTGTAAGCTGGTTTAGACAAAGTGCTCCGAGTGGGCCAAATACTTACATCTGACTCCATCTCTAGTAGCATCTTAAGTCTAGGTATTTGCATCTGGGAAAAACATTTAAAAACAGTTAAAGCCTAGAAAGAACAAGGAGGCAGGAGGGAGGCAAAATTCCCAAAGCCACCCAGACAATCTCCCATCCCGTTTTTCTTCCCCTTCAGTTTCTGGGATGCGACAGGGGACGGAAGAGAACCCAATCTCCTTCAGTCTCCTGTTCTGGACTGTTGTGGAACGTTGCTGTGGGCTGTTACAGAGCTGCTGCCCTTCACTCCAGAAGCAGCTGCATTTCAAGAGCGAGCAACAGGAGCCCTAAAAATGCCGCACCCGGTTTGCTATGAGTTAGAGCCCTTTGGGATCTGGGAGGAGGTATACCAATGACAGTCGTTCTTCCTTGAACGACAGCCATTACTAGTGGCTACCCCTGCCAGCTGCTAAAAATGGCTCAGAAACTGGAGTGACAAGATAATCCCTGGCACATGTACAGCGTCTATTCCCTGGAAACAGGCCCTCAGCTCCAGCCCCACTCCTGCAGCTTCGCGCCATGACACCTGGCTTTGGTAGCCTTGACTGCACAGTACAGGCTCCAGCTACTGGGTGCGGCTGTTGGTTGGGGCAGGGGATAGAGCATCACCAGGCAGGCACGGGGAGAGGAAAAGGGGGAAATTGGCCATGCTGGGCTCTGCATTCTCTGCTTGCACGGAGATACCTCCCCCCGAAGGAACAGACTAAAGGAAGGAATTCTAACACTAGCTGGTACCTGCAGACAATCAGGGACTTTTGCTGAGGTGTCCTGCTGGGAACCCTGACTGGCCTCTCTCATCTCCACGACTGCGTCCCGTTGGGCGTTTTCATTCGCCCCCCGGACTGGGCTCTGAACGGACTCATGTCCAGACTCCTCCAGAGCAATTCCATCCTCCTTAGCACCAGCGCCTTTCCCAAAGACGCATCCTGCCAGAAGTTCCAGGTCCGACCCGTCCTCTTCCAGCCGGGACCTTTTCCTCTGCCTCTCCCCTCCGGGGTCCAGACTCTCCTCAGCAGCTTGCTTGCGTTTCCCAAGCTGAGCTGCAGAGCCGGCTGCATCCCCAGCAGGCCAGAGTTCGGGGTCTGGATGCTCCGGGGTGAACCAGCCCCATTTCCTTTCCAAGTCCAGTTTGCTTTGAGGGCCACTCACGATCTTCTGGCACAGACTTCTCAGCTGCTGCCGGCACGTGTCTGTCAGTGGCACGGGGGTCAAATGGCTCCTCTCTTCGCTCAGTCCCCTCTGAAGCAGCTTCCCCAGTGCCTGTACCCACAGGTCTGGGTTGGGATCTTTCCCGGTGGCCTGCAGCAGCCGGCTGAGGCAGTCCTTCGGCACGCGGCCATGCTCCATGTGCAGCAGGGAGAAGAGGTTTCTCCGGCACAGCACAGGAAGCAGCAGCAGGATCGGCTTCCTGAGGAGGAATAAAAGAGAGTCAATCACAGATCTGCTCCAGGGGAAGGGTCAGGTGCGGGTGCTGCCTCCAAGAGTCCTAACTCGCCAAAGAGGAGCAGGGATGGACTGTCCTGAAGTCCAACGGGGTTTGCAGGAGAAGGCTACGGATCTCAACAACCCCAAACTGGGGGGCACTGGGGTCTGGGCCCACTCTCCACCCAGAAGACCACCAACAGGGACAGCTGCATGTATTTTAGCAGTCTGACTGCACGACAGCCTCACTCTGGAACAGGGCACTTTCTTGCTCACTTTTCTCTGGCTAACAGGGAACCCCCTGCCAGCACTGCAGTGGACATGCGTGTGCAAAGCATGATTAACATGTCGACAAGCACGCGGCTCCTTCTCTCCTTCACCCTGCTCTCTTTCCTCAGCCCACACTCCCAGTACAGGCCACTGCAAGCCGGATCTTGCACGATGCCCTGGATGCTCATTAAAGCCAGTGGGAGATGAAGTAGCTCAGCAATCAGCATCATGCAGGATCGAGCCGTTAAAGAGCCAGCACAACTGGAGTCTAATGGAGGAGTTATTGCAAGACTTCTAATCGGATGCTGTAAGTGACTTACAAAGTGAGAGTCCTCTTGGGCCCCCGCAGCACGGGCTCCTCCGCACACAAGGTCTCTGTGAAGAGCTGCCAGTGGAACGCCCGGCCCGGCTCGTCGCAGGACCTCAGCGCATGGAGGAGGAGACGGGACGGCTTGTCAAATCTCTTCAGCCAGCTTGCTGGGGGAACTTCCATCTCACCAGCCCTGCACGGGACACATCCAGAATGGGGGGGGGACACATTCCAAGGTCCCCCAGCCATGCAGTAAAACCCCAAGAGCAGCCAGGAGAGGTCATGAGAAAAAAGGATACATTGGCTCATAAAAGTGCTGCATAGGTAGACCCTTGGGGTACCCAGCATCCAGCTCAGACCACTGGGTTGTCCAACCCAGTACCCCATCTCCTGCCACTGTGGCTCCAAGCAACCCATCTCCCCCCATGTACCAGCTGAGATGCTAAGATATCCCAGGAGACAGATGAGATCACTGGTCTGCCCAATGAGCTATCCCATCTCTGAGAAAAGCAGCAGAGCAGGATGAAAACAACACCTGAAGGACTTAGCCTGTTGCAGAACGCTGAATTGGGGGTGGGGGTGGGGGGGGCAGGAATTCCTTCCTGACCTGCTGCCCTTGGCTTCTGCCCTGAAACACTGATTGGATTAGCCTTCTCCTAAGTCAGAGTTTCTCAACCAGGGGTACTGGAGAGAAGTCTGGGGGTACGTCAACACAACTGAAATATGGAGAAAAATGAAGTTTTGTTTTAAGTTTTACAGCGCTTTATTATTTTTGTACTTTTTACACCCAAAAATCTCATCGCTTACCCGGCCACGATTAAATTGTTTAAACAAATGTGTTGCAATGGTAGAAAAAAATTGTGTGTCTGAAAACTGTAGGTACTGGGGGTATTTATAATTTTTTTTTTTAAAGGTATACTTTTTTTTAAAAAAAAATAAACGGTTGAGAGACACTGTTCTAGGTCCCCTGACTATTACTGGTCATAAAGTCATGTGGCTCCTTTTAAAATCCCGCCATGGCATATGCCTATCTCTTCCTGCAGCCATGGCACAAGGGAGAGGGCACAGCAGCTCAGGAGTGAACACAGAAGATGAAGGGCAAACACATCACACCTCCCTGCCCCTTAGTTACCCACAAGACAAGCTGAAGAGCTGTGCCCTAGTGAATGCCTGGACAGAGCCCTGGACAGCTGGTAGGAGTAGAGAGCTGCTGGGCATGGCACCCAGAGTTAAGGGAGGGAAGTTACTGGAGCCCAGAGGCAGCCTTCACAGTGCAAACATGGCACATCTCGTGTAACACTGGTTAATGCAGCCTGAATACCACAAATATTCTTTCTTTTGGGCTACATGTGGGGCCAAGCGGTTTGTTCTCTTTCAAAACAAAAATTCAGAAATGCACCCACAAAATCGGCAGAGGCATTGTTTGCTCAGGCTCCCTGGAAATCTCTCAGAGAGCTTCACAAAGGTAGGCCATTAGTGTTAGCCCTCCCTTTTTCCAGAGGGAAACTGAGGCACTGAGCAGGGACATGACTCGCCCACAGTCATATGGAGAATCAGTAGCAAAGTCGAGCATTGAATGCAGGTCACCCAAATGCAAATCTGTCTTGCTCTTCCTACTAGACCCCGCTGCTGCTGCACACACAGAGGACACGAGGGGGAAAGGTAGCTCTGAGGATGTTTCATGCTGGGAATGGTTTCTGGGGAAGCTCCCGGGGAACCCCTGAAATTCTCAGGACTCTTGGGCGATGCATGTGCAACAGCTGCTGACACCACCGGTCCCCCAGCCCCGGATACTAAACCCACAAATGGAAGAGAGAGATGGGCGCTGCCCTGACAGACTATGAGTGGGTCATTATCCGTCAGCTCTCCTGCCGCACTCCGCCAAGTTCCCCAGCACAACTCCAAAGAGATCAGCAGAGGTGGGGCGCCTGGGGGAGATTAAACCCCCCTAGTGCCTGTTTTTATCCCCACCCTGCAAGGCTGCAAAATGGAACCGGGGGAGCCAGAGGGAGGCCCCTGCCTAGACCACAAATTGAAAGGTGCTGGCTCATGCGTTAGCAGCCAAGCAGCATCCCTCGCTCTGCCTTGCACGCTACAGGCTTGCACGTTCCCTTGCACACTTGCACGTTCCCTTGCACACGTATTTGCCACCAGCTCCTAGCCCGGACTATGCCACGAGGGAAACCTCAGGCAACATGTTCAATCCCTGGTTCCCAATCCACCCCAGGGGAGGCCTGATTTCCATTCAGCGGCTCCCAACACGGGGTACACAGAGCTCTTGCAGGGGTACATCAGCTCGCGTACCTGTGGCTCCCCGTCGCCTCTGCCCTGGCGCTGAGCATCAGGCCCCCTGTGCTGCAGGCTGCTCGCTCTGCTGCAGCATCAGCTCCACCTCTGTGTCAGGGCCCAGCCTGTTCCACTTCCTGGTTCAGGGGCCCTCTTTTTTTCCCTTCCACTCCTTAAAGGAGCAGCGTCCCTGTGTGGGGGGGGTCCCTCCACACTCCCCCCCAAACAGCTCACCCATGGCCCCCACTCCCCGCCTGCCTGCTACCACTTCCCCACACCTGGCTGAGACGCCAGGCAAGGCCCCGAAACCTCTCTGGGGGCAGGCCTTCCACTGCTTTCCCTGCCCCAAGGATTATAGGGCTGGGATTTTCTGTAGGGCCCCCTCTCCCTATAGGGCTGGGATTTTCTGTAGGGCCCCCCCTCTTCCCAGCTGCTCAGAATCGGGGCCCGCAAGCAGTCTAATGATCCTTTAAAAAACAGCAGGATATATTTTTTTAAGCAAAGTGGGACAAGAAGGACAATTTTTTTCAAAGGAGGACATAATTATTGGGGAGGACAAGCCCCTCAAAAGAAGGGCTGTGCTCCTCAAAGGAGGACATCTGGTCACCTTATTGAAGGCTGCTCTCAAATCCCCTCTCACTCTTCTCTTCTGTAGACTAAACAAACCCAAATCCCTCAGTCTCTCCTCGTGGGTCATGCGCTCCAGCCCCCTCATCATTTTGGTCGCCCTCCGCTGGATCCTCTCCAATGCGTCCACATCCTTTCTGTAGTAGGGGGCCTAGAACTGGACACAATATTCCAGATGTGGCCTCACCAGAGCTGAATAAAGGGGAATAATCACAACCACATTGTAACGTATTCAGTCCACATCACCCCAAACCCATCTGCTGCTGCAGTCATTCACTCTAGCACCAACAGCCAGTGCTGCTCCACCACTTACTTCTGGAAGCAGCTGTCCTGGGAAATCCGAAAGGGTGCTCAGTGCACAGCTGCCTAGTGTTATAGACCCAGTTTCTTCCTGATTCTCCCTTTTTTTTTTTTTTGCACTTCAGACATGGCAGCCCTAGCACCTCCAGTTCCTGCAGTGATACCTTCTGCTGCTCCACCCCTGCATCTTTCCCCACTCCAGAGGTTCTCACCTCCTCTCTCCCAGGGCTTTGTGGGGGAGAGGGGAGCCAGCTAGGTCATCTTCTCCCACTCCACAGGTGAGGTGTTGCAGGAAGAGGGGGTGTAAGAGAAAGCCAATTGACCCATAAGCTGTGAGACTTTTTGTAAGGCTAGTGCTGTGTTTTAATATGTGCCCACTGTCCAGCCCACTGGAGCATTGATCTCCACTGGAGACTCAGGGTATTGCTGCAACATGAGTTTTTTTTGCTAGCCAAAATCTCAAAAGGTAATAAAATGTTTTCAGAAGCAGGAAGCTGGCTAACAACCAGTGGGGGCCCTGGACGATCGAGATACAAAAAGAGCACTTAAAGACTATAAAGTCATTGCAGAGAAACTAAATGAATTCTTTGCTTCAGTCTTCACGGCTGAGGCCTTTAGGGAGATTCCCAAACCTGACCCATCCTTTGTAGGTGACAAATCTGAGGAATTGTGTAGGGCTGCGACTAGACTGGCATGATTTTGCGCAGCGCAAAATCTTGCTGCCTGTCTACACTGGCTGGGAGGATTTGCACAAGAACACTGACTTTGTACTGTACAAAATCAGTGGTTCTTGCACAAATATTCCGACGCTCCCACTCAGGGATAAGCCCTCTTGCGCAAGTATTCTTGCACAAGAGGGCCAGTGTAGACAGCCAAGTTAATTTCTTGTGCAAGAAAGCCCGATAGCTAAAATGGCCATTGGCGCTTTCTTGCGCAAGAGAGCATCTACACTGGCACGGATGCTTTTGTGCAAAAGATGTCTTTTGCGCAAAAGCATCCGTGCCAGTGTAGACGCTCTCTTGCACAAATACTTTTCACGGAAAAACTTTTCCGTGAAAAGTATTTGCACAAAATCATGCCAGTCTAGACACAGTCTAGGGGTAAACTGAGGCAGTCCATGGTATTCTGCTAAGAACTCTCATCTAAATCCTAAATCATGAGACTAAGCCTGAGAACGAACAGAGCAAACATTTAACTTAACCCTGATCGCCCTGGCAACCACATTCCGAAACGGCCTCACTCCGATAAGGCCCTGGCTGGTACCATAACAATCTGCGCGGAAGTTCTTCTCACTGTCTCCTTGAATTCTAGATACTAAGCCTGGATCTCAAGGACCCCGCCAACGCGAGGAAGTAATTATCTTGCAGTAGACACACCATAATTTCAGCAAAGTTGTCATTAACATGTCTGTTGGCTTATTTAGCTTGTTAGGAATAACTACCTGTATTATTGATAAGATGTTTAATTGGCGGCGGGGGGGGATATTGTGTAACTTTTGTAGTTTAATTGACTTATGTGCTCATTACATCTTGCGGCTAGAACCTATGAAATTGCTTCCACTCCACTCACCTGCTGCCTATATAATTCAATGTCCTGTTTTGAATAACTAGTGCTCTCCAGGTTAACCCCTGGTGGGTACTCTACCAGCGCTGGTGTACAATAAATCCTCAGCTTGTTTTCGCTGCTGTCCAGAGTTTCCAAAATTGTCACAGATTGAAGTGTCATTAGAGGAAGTTTTGGAATTAATTGACAAACTTAACAGTAACAAGTCACCGGGACTATAATTCAATGTCCTGTTTTGAATAACTAGTGCTCTCCAGGTTAACCCCTGGTGGGTACTCTACCAGCGCTGGTGTACAATAAATCCTCAGCTTGTTTTCGCTGCTGTCCAGAGTTTCCAAAATTGTCACAGATTGAAGTGTCATTAGAGGAAGTTTTGGAATTAATTGACAAACTTAACAGTAACAAGTCACCGGGACTAAATGGCATTCACCCAAGAGTTCTGAAAGAACTCAAATGGGAAATTGAGGAACTATTAACTATGGTTTGTAACCTATCCTTTAAATCAGCTTCTGAACCCAATGACTGGAAAATGCCTAATGTAATGCCAATCTGGGCAAAAGTCAACATGGTTTCTGTAAAGGGAAATCATGTCTTATTAATCTATTAGAATTCTTTGAAGGGGTCAACAAATATGTGAACAAGGGGGATCCAGTAGATATAGTGTACTTAGATTTCCAGAAAGCCTTTGACAAGGTCCCTCACCAAAGGCTCTTAGGTAAATTAAGTTGTCATGGGATAAGATGGAAGATCCTTGCATGGATTCAGAACTGGTTAAAATAGAGGAAACAAAGGGCAGGAATAAATGGTAAATTTTCAGAATGGAGAGGGGTCAGTCCTAGGACCAATCCTATTCAACTTATTCATAAATGATCTGGAGAAAGGGGTAAACAGTGAGGTGGCAAAGTTTGCAGACGATACTAAACTGCTCAAGGTAGTTAAGACCAAAGCAGACTTCAAAAAGATCTCACAAAACTAAGTGACTGGACAACAAAATGGCAAATGAATTTAATGTGGATAAATGTAAAAGTAATGCAAATTGGAAAAAATAACCCCAACTATACATACAATATGATGGGGGCTAATTTAGTTACAACTAATCAGAAAAGAGATCTTGGCATCATTGTGGATAGTTCTCTGAAGATGTCCACGCAGTGTGCAGTGGCAGTCAAAAAAGCAAACAGGATGTTAGGAATCATTAAAAAAGGGATAGAGCAGGGGTTCCCAAACTTTTTGACACTGGGGACCAGTAAACCCATTCACAAGCTTTTGGAGGCCCAATAAAATTTATTTGCATATATAAGAAAATTATAATATGCAAATAAATTGTGTCACTGGTGCTACCTGTCTGGCGGGTTGTTCCGCCCCACTCCTGGCCCCAATCCCAGCCGCTTTATCAGCCAGCACCAGTTCTCCCAACTGCGTCTGGTGCTGAGCATTCTGTGTCGGTGCGCACGATGCCCAGCCTTCTTCCTGGGTCTTATCACCTGCTAGATCCAGCCCCGCTGCCCGGTACCGTGCCCAGCAGAGATGCCAGGGTTCGCGCTGCCACGCTCAGCAGTATGGGGTGCTGCTACCCCATCACACAAATTAATAGGATCGTGTGTGATAATTTTTGTAAGGACCGGTATTTTTTTTCTAAGGACCGGTACTGGGCCGCAGACCACACTTTGGGAAATGCTGGGATAGAGAATAAAACGGAGAATATCTTACTACCATTACATAAATCCATGGTACGCCCACATCTTGAATACTGCATACAGATATGGTTTTCTCATCTCAAAAAAGATATGCCGGCATTAGAAAAGGTTCAGAGAAGGGCAACTAAAATGATTAGGGGTTTGGAACGGGT